AATACCAAAAACAATAAATCATATATCTGCAAATTGCTCAACATTAGATATTGTTGGTGAAATACCTTTAGAAATAAATGTTAATGGAATAACAACAACAATTATTGCTGATGTTACAACCAATCTGGTTACGAATTTAATATTAGGTAGTGATTGGATTCAATCAAACAATGTTTATATTCTTACACCTGAACAACGAATTATGATCCGAAGTCGAGGTAAAGAAGTATCAACTCCTTTTGTAAAACCACCTCTTTTAAATTATCCAGTTACTCTTATTAATCATATTACTCTTCCTCCTTTTTCAGAAAAAATAGTAGAAGCACAAGTTCAACATAACAATATGATAGATGTATTATTTGAACCAAATCCTCGATTAAAAAATAAAGCATTATTTACTGCAACTGCATTACTGAACATTGAAAACAGAAGAATAAAAATTAGTATAATTAATGCAATGAATCGACAACAAACACTTTCCGAAGGAACCAAATTAGGTATAGTGACACAATTATCTTCTACAATTGGTGTTACCATACCATCAAATTATTTCATAGAACGCATTCCGGAAGGAAAAGCGTGTAAAGAGCTCATTCCTGAAGGGAAAGGAGCGAACAAATCAAATAAATTAAAATGTAACAACATACCAACTATAGCATCACATGGAAAACAACATCAATGTCGTAAATGTTATCAACATTTTGATACTAGCAATGAATTATTCAAGCATCTTAGAAACCACTGTTATCCTGAAGAAATAAGACAACAAATAAATAAATTAGTTGAACATATTAATGATGATAAACAACGAGAACAAATTTTAAAAATTTTATGGAAATATGGAAAATTATTTGACATTAGTGAACCATCAAAAATTGATATAATTTTAAAAAATGCTATTGATACTGGTACACACCGTCCTGTTCATACTCCACCATATAGAAAATCAAACAAAGATCAAGAAACCTTAAGAAAAGAAACAGATAAATTATTAAAAAATGGAGTTATTGAACATTCAACATCACCATGGTCTTCACCTGTCGTTTTAGTAAAAAAGAAGGATGGAACAACAAGATTTTGCGTCGATTATCGTCGCTTAAACCAAATTACAACAAAAGATGCTTTTCCATTACCAAGAATTGATGATATTTATGACCAATTAACAAAAGCAGCATATTTTACAAAATTCGATTTTAAAGCTGGATATTTTCAAGTACCATTAGACAAATTAGATCGACCAAAAACAGCATTTTCAACTCGAGATGGACATTTTCAATTTAAAGTATTACCACAAGGTCTTACTAATGGACCACCAACATTTCAACGAATTGTTAATCAAATATTAGGTCCAAATAGATGGAAACATGTACTCGCTTATATCGATGATATTATTATTTACTCGCAAAATTTTAATGAACATTTAAAACATATTGAAGAAGTGTGTTCATTATTACATGAAGCAAATTTTAAGTTAAATGTTGATAAATGTGAAATTGCAAGAACAGAAATACTATTTCTTGGACATTTAATTAAAGCTGGTACTATTAAACCTGATCCAGACAACATCCGTGGTTTGACCGAAACACGTGAACCAACATCAGCTGAAGAAGCATTTAGATTCGTCAAAGCAGCAGAATATTACCGAAAATTTATTCCAAAATTTTCCACCATCGCTGCACCATTACATCAATATTCTCCAGCAACAGTACAACAACAAAAGAATAATAAAAAATTAAAATTTGAATTATCTGCTGAAGCTAGAACAGCATTCTACCAACTCAAGAAAATATTAACAACTGATCTTATTCTCGATTTACCTGATGATACATTAACATTTAAATTACAAACTGATGCTTCTGTAGATGGAATCGGGGCTGTTCTATTACAAATGACCCCCAATGGTGATCGACCATTAGCATATATGTCAAAGAAATTAACAAGAACACAAATTAATTGGCCAACAATTGAACAAGAATGTTATGCAATAGTACAAGCAATAGAAAAATGGGACAAATATCTTCGTGGACATGAATTTATATTAGAAACTGACCATGAACCATTAATTCATTTTGCAAACAAAGAACAATTAAATAAAAGATGTGAACGATGGCGATTAAAATTAGCTGAATATCGATTTAAGGTGAAACATATTCAAGGTAAGAAAAATCATATGGCAGATTATCTTTCAAGATCACCAGTCGACATAGCTGAAGAAGATATTGAAGAACGAACTCAGTATGAATCAACATCAACACAAACAGATTTATCATTTTCATCATTAAATGATAATTTGATTCCATTAAAAATAACAACAGCGATTACTAGAGCTCAAGCCAAATTACAACAACAGGCAATGGCAACACCACCTATTAAACCGACGAATGAAAAAATTAATGAGCTCATCCCACAAGGGAAAGTAGCGACTGATGAAGAACTGATAATCAAACCATCAGATGAAAATCCAAATAAGATCATCCCATTTGATATGGATGATTTAAGAAAATGTCAAGAAGAAGATAAAACAACTCAAGAAATAAAAAAGAATAGTAAGAATAAAAAACATTATTTTGTTGAAGATGGAATATTATTTAGGAAACAACAACTACCACTTTTACCAGTTCCATATGTTCCAGCAGGACGGATACGTGCTGATATATTAAAAATTTATCATGATACACCTGCTAATGGAGCTCATTTTGGACGTGACAAAACAATAAGAAAAATTCAAGAACGTTATTACTGGCCAACAATGATAGCTGATATTAGAAATCATATTAATTCATGTTTACCATGTGCACAAAATAATTATCGTCGTCAAAAATTACCAGGAAAATTAAAACCAATACCACCACCAGAAGGAATATGGAAATTATTAAGTATGGATTTTCATGGTCCAATTACTCCAACATCAAAAATAGGAAACAGATACATCATATCTCTTACCGATGTTTTATCAAAATTTGTTATTACAAAGGCGGTTCGAGATTGTTCAGCAGCAACAGCAGCAAAATTTCTTATTAATGATGTTATATTAAAATATGGTGCTCCAACATGTATTTTAACTGATAATGGTACTCATTTTACTTCTCAAATTATGAACAAATTATTTGACAATCTTGGAGTTACTCATCTTTATTCGACCGTATATCATCCACAGACAAATGGACAAATTGAACGATTCAATGCAACTATGGATGGAAAAATTGCCGCCTTATGTAATGAACGACGTACGGATTGGGACGAAGTATTACAATTTGTTACATTTAATTATAATACATCAATACATGCAACAACAAAACAAACACCATTCGAAATGATGCATGGAAGACAAGTTACACTTCCATTTGATCAACAAAAAGAAATTATTTCGCTCACACAAGATCCAGAGCACAGTCAAAAAATTAGAATATATCTCGAAAAATTAGTAAATGAAGCTCGAAACAATATTATAAAAAATCAACAACAATATAAAGCTCGATATGATTTAAATAGACAAGAATTATTATTAAAAATTAATGATTTAGTTTTAATCAAAACAAGAAATATTAGAAACAAATTTGATATACGATACGAAGGTCCATTTAAAATTATTAAACAATTAGGACATAAAACATTCATTGTTCAACACGTAAAGAAATTAACATTAACAAAACAAGTGACAATGGATGTTATCGTTCCATTGGTGGAACGATGGAATTTAATCCAATAAACACATCCCGAGAGGGAAAGATGTGTATTAGATGGCACAATTAGTAAAGTAAAAATAATTATCATTTATAATTAAGTAAAAATGATTCAGTTTGATTCAGCAGTCCATGCCGGGGAGACAGAAATTCACCGTCTCACTGACAAGGAGGGGCTGTCGAACTCGAATATTAAATATTTTTTTTTTCTTCTTTTTAATACTTAATACGAAATGATATATTATTCAATCATAATGTGTAACAATCGATGCACTTTAACAGTATGCGCGCACTGTTTGGCGCAAAGAATGACGCACGTGGTACCAGTTCACAACTTTACTATGATTAAAACAAGATTATGTTATGTTCACATCTAGCACATCAAACAAAGAAAAATTTATATATATCAATTTTTCACCATCGAATATTTAACATAAATATTTACTTATTGATTATCTTAATGATATGGTTTATATACAAATGATTCAATTGATTTATATTTTGTAAAATCATCGAATAATAATTATTTCAAACTCAACAAACATTATTATGCTATATATTACCAATATCGAAACAACAATATACAATTATTTATCCATATAGTTGTTTAGAAATAAAAATAAATGAAAAAATTAATTTATAGCTTTTTTCAAGGTATACCATCAACAGATATTATCTATTATTTATTATTCCAAAATGAATTAAATGATAAACAATATTTATCTAAACTAATTAAATTAATGATAAAAATTGATGGAAATGGAAACCGACAATGTTCGTGTTTACAAAAAGATGATAAAATTAAATTAAAATTATTCTCGTGAAAATTCTATACCCAATCAATTGATACAACTCTTATAGAAGATCTATTACTAATGGATTTGCAATTTCAATCATTTCATGTTTACCTTGAAGATCATTATGTTTATGTCTTAAAGATTTATTTAGTCATTTATCAACGTTTGAACAAAATACCCCAACAAATATAAGAGAAATTCAAATAAAACTTGAAAATATGCAAGATGAACTCAACCTTGATGTGTGGGGACACACATCCAATATGGGAGGGGAGGAATGTTAGCGGTGATTCATTCTCATTTCTTTCCCTTGATATCTTACTATGTATTTCTTCTCTTTTTCCTTTTTTTCTCTTTCTCCTCTTTCTCGATTGTATGTTGTTATATATATATATGTACGTGTTGTTAAGGACATTTTAACTAGTCAGATATTTTTGGAAAATAAATAAACATCAGCTCGTCGAAACGAGCTAACAACTTGTCTTCGACCATAGTTGACTCTGATTTCACTTATACATCAATGCCTGATCCTTTGGCTGTTTATGTACCTGTAGCAGCCCTCACCAAACCAGTGGTGCGTTCCATTCTTTTTGCTGTATTGGAGCATGAAAGACGAGATTGGAACCATAGTCGCCGTACTCTACTTGCTTTCTTACTGGCACTGAATAAAAAACTCGAGGAAATTGAAGCAAGTGCAGAGACAAGGCACAAAATCGGCGATCAAATCATTCGACAAGTTGATGATATTCGCCAATGGCTTGTCTATGAGGACGATTCTGGTAACCGTGTAGAACCAAACTGGGATGAACTTCGAGCAACATATCAAAAGATGATTGCTGATAAAGTGGATGATACATGGACATATTATGGTGGTCACAGAACTAAGCCATACTACGAATTGATTATCAGTGTGGTAAGTTAATTCATCTATTGACAAATAGAATTGAGCACTTGTTTTCCTATTTCACTTTCAAAATCTGACATTGTATCTCCTTTAGGATGACCTATGATACTACTGAGATTAACCCGAATGACGAGTGAAGATTAGTCCTTCCATCGAGCCTCATGAATAGAATTTCACAAAATTGTCCAAAAGCATGAGTGTTAACATTTTATACAATTCTATTCTTGATCGCTAACATTTATTTCAGTCACATCCTGATATTGAACGATCTCGAGTTTACATGACTCGTACTCGTCAGAATGGTTTTCAATCCAATGAGCTTAAATTATATTGGAATGCTGAACAATTGGAAATTCTTTGTCCAAAATTTGGATCACAAGGAGATAAAGTTTTTCAACCACCGCATGATCCATCGGATGCTGATGCTGTCGAAGGTCTTTGTCAATATCCTGTGTGGCAGCGAAATCATTCAGGAAAAATCACTTACGTCACGAAGGGCATTGAAAAAACTGTTTTTGACGTCCCTAAAGACGCCCAAATTATTCTATTGAGTTTCGCAGTAAGTTATTGTATCGATTGTTAATATGTTCTATTCTACCACTTTTTAGGATGAACAATCGCCTGGCGGTGGTTATTTGATACGGGCATGTAAGTGTTTTTTTTGCTCTAAATACATCTATCATATTATCTTGTCGGAAAAAAATACCGAGTTTTTCCAATCACTATACCTGTTTCAGGGACTCAAGAAGAAATCATTCTATACAATTCAGACGCTTATCGATCTTTGCTCGATTTGAAATACGGACGGATGGGTGGCGGCTATGCCATACCAGAATTCGGTCTAGCTTATGTACGCAACATTTGCTTCTTCCACCCGGATACACAAGAGCGACGCCTGGTAGATATGATGGTTGCTGCGTGTTATTGCATCGGTGCAGCGGAACTTTATGATAATCCAAAGAATAAAACGGAAGTAAGTATCCCTAAATGTTTGAGCCCCTAGCAGCTTCTTTAAGAAAAAATCTAGTTGCTATCTAGTTTTATTGCTAGCCAGAAGTTTTAGAGATTTTTTCTGCACAATCATTCAAGTAAAACGAGTGAATTGGACTAGACTTGACCACATAGAGAAATATTCTTAATGGAAGTTTCTTCTAAAATATTAGTCAGAAGAACTAAATTCGAGGAAAGTTTATCTCCTTGGGATATACCATGTTGAGCTTGTCCATTTCTCTACTTTTATGTCAATGACAGAATTCCGATATTGTGGTGAAAAGAATCATAAAAACCATTTTGACTATTTTAGTGGAAAGAAAAGACTTTGGCCAAGTTTCGCGCATTCATCGTGGCGGCCGTAGCCAATACGAAGGGTGACGGTTCAAATACTTATCTCTTGCTTGGACCAATAGGTACAGGTGCTTTTGGAAACGATATTCATGATATTGCTAATCTTTTTCGAGAAGTACTTCAATCAAAAATGATGAGTTCGAATGGACCGATTCGGCAGGCTTTCGGCAACATTTGGTTTGTCTCTATAGACGCTTGGAAAAATGACATCTTCAAAGAGATTTTATCAAATGACGAAATCTAGATTCTGTTTTTGTATCTTCGAGTTTGGTCAAATTCTAAAAACTAAACCATCATAGTCGTATGCACTCGATTAACTATGTCTGTTTTGCATGAACATTCTATTTCATTAAAAAAACGAACACTTACTTTACTTTTTTCTGTGGTACGAGTACGACTTTTCGATTGTTTTTTTCCATCTCTCTAAAATGTAGCATTGAATACATATAGATGGAAATATTCGTCTTCACATATAGATTGATTGCATATTCTCAACCGTGAAAACTGAAATCATTCTCATTTTGATACATGGAAGAAAATAATCATTCTTCAGTGTTCTGACTTACAAGTTTAACACCATTTATTCAGTTCAAAACGCTATATCTTACACTACAGCCAGATGTAAGTGTAGACCTGAGAATATTTTTGTGAGAATCTTCCATCCGTCCTCAATCATCAACTCTCACTCAAATTCTCATCGCCCACATTCACCCTCCATTACATAATAGATGACTGGATAAAATGTTCATGACATGAAACACATCAGAGAATAATCTTCATGGTATGTTGAATATAATCAACAAGCAATATTCTCATGTTCAAATAGCAATACTCATCAATGAAACCGTCAATTATGATAATGCTAAAATAACTTATTTTGATAGTAGTCTGACAGCCAAAGTTCTCCTAATGGTTTAGAATCTCAACTATAACCATTTTCTTATATATTCGGTCATGGATAGCACTAGTACTCTAAATTGATTCTAGAAACTCTTATACGTTCCATGAAACGATTTTCGCATGCATCTGATTCCGATAATGAGCTCTAGGATATTTAATCGTCATTTCAACTCAATGAATTCTGCGTGAATTTTATTGCGAACAAAATTTAAATCATTTTTTGAAGAAATTGATATGACGAAAGTGAAACTTGACTATGAAAGGGCATTTTACGATCAGTATTTTCATTGTAATTAATTGAATATGTTTCATTTTATTCATAACATATTTTTCGTCAGTGAGTAGCTAACATAGAGTTCTTTTTTCTGTTTGCTATGAGACATACTACATATATGCGCATGCCTTCCTTTAGATACTTTCTAGCGAACTAAGCCGTGAATAAAGATAATAATTAAACAATTGCCCACATTAAGACTTGTTAGAGCTCCGTTTGATTTATTCAACGAGTAAGTTAATCATAAGATGAGTAACTAACAGATATTCATCATCATATCAAAATAAACCAATATTTATGACTACATTGAACAATAAAAATCGACTAAATCTGGTATATGATGACGGCAAAAACAATTATTTCAAAGATAACCAAAGGAGTCATTCTCCATTCGACTATTATATAACAACTATCTGACAAGCATTTCATTTCTATTTCGAATTCTGAGACAAACAATTGAGCTCAGCTGCAGAAGAAAAAAAATACATCCTACCTTTTTACCTAAAAAATATCTAGTCGTTTCGTTCAGAAAAACTTAACTAGTTTCAACAGTATAGACAAGTCTATGCACAAAACAAATAGCAGGCGTTTGTCATGGAATGTCCTGTTTTTATTTCTGTTGTGAATAAAGATATTTAATATATAGTTGAATCAAGTTTCATAAGTATATATTAACATATGTCATTGTTCTATGATTATATATTTTTAATTTTATAGTTTGAAAATTACATGTGCAATAATATTCTGATTATTATATTTAGTAATTCAAAATGTTTTGGAATTTCTTTTTAAGAATTGCACCCAATATATATTATATGTCTTACTCCACTGAATGAAGTCCTAGGAAAACAGAAACACCCATACGTTGTCGCATGGTCCATTTCTATTCAGGGTGTGGGTGTGGGTGTGGGTGTGGTGGGTGTGGGTGTGGGTGTGTGTGGGTGTGGGTGTGGGTGTGGGTGTGGGTGTGGGTTTGGATGTGTGTAGCTGTAGTAAGAAAGGCTCATACCCACAACCATACCCACACCCACCCACACCCACCCACACGCACACCCTCTCGTAATAAATGCTTAAGAGACTAACGAATACAAAATCGCACAAGATGCACATATGAATGTATTCGAAAAATGTTCAGGTTTCTAAGTAAAATTATATTCGTTCAATGTTTCAAACCCTTTATGAACGCAGTATAATGTGCGAGTTTACGTGTTCGATTTTTGAATTGAAATTATCTTTAGGTGACAAAAATCATATTTCACACATCTAGATTTTTGAAAGAATAGTTGATATATTTTCTTAGTTATTTGAATCTTAGTACCATTTTATAACGATTGCTTTTTAGTCCAATTTTTACCTATATAGGTAGCAATATTAGATTTAAAATTCTTTCGAATTTCAAGCATCACTATATAGTTTTCTGTAGATTAAAATTAAACTGCAGTCATAACCGATAATGATAAACAGCTGGTCCAATCCAACTCTGTAGAAAATTCTTTACTGTCCCCTCTAAACTTGTTAATTATTATTTTTGAGATGAAACATGCACTATACTAAACTATTATGTCCAAAAAAAATCTATTAGACTTAATATATTTTGGCTAACTCGTATTGATTTTAAGTTATGCTCTTGAAATTAAAGTAAATAATTATTTAACGTCGTCACGTGTTGTTTAATTTTTTTCTACTATTCAGGGCTTATATTTCGCTGAAACATGTTCGATAACACATGGAATATTAATTTAGAAGCAATTTCAGTTTATACTTAATTAATAATATTCATATTTGATGATACGTTAATCAGTGGACAAAGTATAGAAGCCATTTCACAGAAGTCAGGACCGATTCTGCGTAATAAAAAAAATTAAACTTTAGCTTGCACGGTCAACCAGTTTTTATGACAAAACTCGTGCCTATTGGCATACTGCATTTCGTAGCTCATAAATAGAGTTACAACAACTTTCATAAATATGCAATGAAAATATTCGTTTCAATTATTTTAGTTTTTCCTCTCATTTCTGCCGTTGCTGCACATAAATTTGATATGAATGTGCTGTAGCATAAAGCGAATAGGCTAACATAAAAGTAGAAGAATCTGAAGATATTAGTCAAATATAATACTTGTTTTCGAAATAAGTTGTCAATACGAGAGAAGAATGAGAATGTTTGTAGAACGAGCACAGCCAATGTTAATAAGTACGAATAGATCAACTACAGGAGCGACTAAAATTCTAGAAAATGATTTGAAAGCTCTAAACGAGTATATGCTAAAAATGTTTAATTTTTTGACGACTTGTTGATTTATATTAGACAATATTATTTACTGTAGCAGTGTAGTAATATTTATAATACGAAAAGACACCAAATAGTATTTGATAGTAGAGTATTCATCTAACACAAACTCAATCAATAAGATACAGTGTTAGATAAATAAAAAGCATTGATTTTACGGTTTTTTTCCAACTTTATTCTCTTGTTTCATATATAAGAATAAGACAGCAAAAAAAGGGAGCAAAATAAAAAATGAAAAAAATATCTCAAAAGAAAAATTGTGTATTGTTTTGGATTAATAAGCTTATGCGCTCCGAGAAATAACTAAAACCAGCAGATGAACTGCGACTTATGGAAAGCCATATGGAAACCGCCTACATTCATCTCATAAACAAAAAAGAACCATTGTAAATTGAAATGGATTATGAAAAACAGACATATAGTTATATGAAGGTTACATTGCTATTTGTCGACATTTTTATTCCAGGAAAAAAAAATGAATAACTCATCAACACTGCCAATGATTGCTAACTATCCTTATTTAGCTTTGAACATTCGTTATACATTGATTGCACTTCCTTTTCTATTTACTCTTGCTCTTGTAACTAATTCTCTGAATCTCATCATTCTATGTCGTCGTATTTTGCTTCAACACTCATGCACTTATTACTTTATTGCTCAATCTTCGTTCAATATTCTATATACCATCGTAGTTCTCATCGTTGATTGGATCAATACAGTTTTTCCAATGAATTTAGCGACAAGATCGTTGCCCGAGTGCCGAATCTATGCTTATCTTTCTTCTGTATCAGCTGTCGGTAGTGTTTACATGCTTGTATTGGCATCTATTGATCGTTGGTGTGCGAGTGCAACAAGCGAATTTATTCGTCGTTGGATTAAAGTCAAAATTGCACGCCGAGCCCTCTGCACACTATGTATCATCATCGCTATCTACCGTACGGAAATTTTATTTACATATTATGTTGTTCAAGGTCAATGCGTTTGGACAGCTAATCTAATTGAGCAGGTTGTCTTTATAATTATTTTCTATGTAGTTCCACATATTCTCAATCTTTCATTTGGACTTATGACAGTCAAAAATGTCCATACAATTCGAATTCGACCAACGACTATAACAAACATGACAGGACCAACAACGTCAACAAGTCGAGAGCTTCAACAACAGCAAAACAATAGACGACGTACAGAAGGTCAACTCATTCGCATGCTCTTAACACAAGTATTGATTAGTATAATATTCTTTGGTCCATATGCTACTTTTCGTCTGCTCATTTTTTTCAAACTTATTCAGGTGACAGGCATCGTGAGTTTTGGTTATCGTCTTTCTGTGTCATGGATGAGTCTCGCTTATGGAACATCTCTTTTTGCTTATATACTCAGTGGAACTATTTATCGCGCTGAACTATTCACAGTCTTCAAGAAAACTCTTGAATATTTGAAAAGAATGACGCCATAACTACTGAAAAAGCGTTTTATTTAACAAATCAGCAATGTGTTGTGTAGTTTGTTGTTGTTAGTGATTATTTGGTTTCTTAGTATTCTTTACTCATTCATAAATGTTCGTAATATTCAATAAAATAATGTTGTATGAAAACTCTTGATTCTTGGTACTGATACATGTATATGACAGTGAATTGATATTTAGTCTATCATACTCTATACAATAATACGCTGAATTATAACATATTACAATTAAAATCCATAAAAAAAATGCTTAAATATGCAAACAAAACATGAATAGAAAAAAATATAGAGAGATTTCCTATAGGATTTGAATCGTCATTTCTATGATTAAATATCAGCATAGTATTCGATGTTGTGAAAGTCACCACATTTTTTATTAGAATTCAACAATTTGATTGCCAACTCTATATAGTACGTCTCAAACCATTAGTTTACCGTCATGTTCACTAGAATTTTTTATGTACTAAATATTTAGACAAAGTCTGCCAAAATTCCAGTAAACGATATAAATCAGACCTGACTCAGCATTTTTTAACATCTCAACATTTAAAAATATTTTGACTTTAACACACTTTTTTTGTATAGCGCAAAGGTCAAAATGGATATTGAATCAGAGACCAAAATGGACCGAAGCAGAGTTAAGTTAAATCCTCCGAAATTTTCCGTAATAAACTTTCATATTGTTAATGTTCATGCAGAGACCATATATCTAGAGAATCGATGTGAAAGCTTATCTTTGATGCTTATTAGTTGCTCGATGTTATCTTGTCAACAAGCTCAGAATCGATTAGATCAAAAGCTATTGAAAAAAATAACGTACATTGAAAAATAATTTTCACGATAATTAGTCATTGACACAAAAAGGGTATGGGCGTGGGTGTTAGTAGGTGAGATAGATGAGAAGATCCACACCCACACCCTATCTCGAAAACTTTTGCACACAAAAATGTTCGGAAACAGCCTGACAAGTTACTCGCAATATGTAATTTTGTAGAGCATAGTTACGACAGTAGCAATTGTAATAGGTAGTTTTTCATAGATCAATCTAAGTATTATGGTGTGACAGAAAAAAAAAAGCTATAATAATGTGCAAAGTATCAGTGATCACTTGCTGTTAATTGACTGGCTTTGCTTGCTACAATTTCAATTTACATAGATAAAAACTCAATACGTTTGTTGTAACGGACCTTGACAACTGAACACTACACAAATCATGAGTATTTTATCGATAATAAATACTTCAGTCTGTCACAAAAAAATAACTTACTTCATACGAAAATGCGCTTAAAACTATCATAGGGCATAAATGACCTTTACAAATGCCAGAGAATTTTGGTCAATGTCTAAGTCGATGTTGCTGTTGTTCAGTTCATTTGTAGACACGCTTGTTGGTATATACAAGAAAATACATAATTTTTAATCGCCTTTCTTTGCTACTTTTTCTCGCCGTTTCTGTCTTGCTCTTGCGATCGATTTGCATAACCGATACATGGTTCGATCGAAAGCAAAAAAATGTGCAACTTTCTTAATTTCTTTCCATAGTTATATATGTTACGGTCAAAATTGGAATCTGGTCAAATTCTAAATTTGTCCGGACAAAATTGGAATTCTAATTTTGACAGAAAAAAATTAGAATTTTATTTTGATGAATTATAAAGCTAAGCAAAAACCAATACCAAAAACACGAATGAGGTCAAGGATAGTGATGAGAGTCAGGAAGAAGGTTTTAAGTAAGATCGCTGCGAGTAGCCTTGGTGATGGTGAAAAATTTCTTAGTAAGGATAAATTTTTGAGTAAGACTAACATTTTACGCGATTATCCACTCTAATTTCATTCACAACCTCGGGATATAGATCCAGACTTCCTCACTCTAACTCAGACCTGTCTCTCGTCTTCACCATCATTTTTGATTTCACTCGTATTTGTAGTGTTGCTTTTTTTCTCAGTTTTACAGTTCATGAAAATAAAATTCTGACTTTGTCTGATCAAAATTAGAATTCCAATTTTGATCGTAACATATATATATATACATCTTTTTGTTTTGACGAAGAATGCATAGTCGACACTCTTCACCTCAATCTAAACAACAATCTTTTTGTTCATTATAATTATGCTTTTGAACGAAACAAGAGTTCACCTCATAACTAGTTGGAACGCTTTTTATTCTAGACTGAATAGTGTTGGATCTACATTTACTGAATATGAAAAACATGCATTTTTTTCTTCAATTACGAATGCTTAGCGTTGAATAGTATCTATTTTGAAGGGTGTTTCACCTACTATATGTCTTCTTCTAACTAAAAATCAACGCTTCAATGTCATCATCATGAATCCGCCTCTTTATCGTTTCTTTTGAGAAAGTCCATGAGTACCATTTTTTTTGCCAGTGTCTCGAGTTGCGCAAGCTTCATTCTATCATCAGAGGTAATATCTGATCGGTAAATTTGTGTCCAATCGAATTCATTTGGTAACACTTGAGCATAACCGAGAGCACAAAGGAGAGCGCCAAATTTGATACGAGTTCTTTGATGAAGAACATAATGATCGAAGTACTTCGTCATCCATATCCATCCGTCTTTTTTTGTTCCACTAGGCCAATATCCTTCGTACGATCGAGTAGCAGCCACATTGTCAACAACCATTTCCAGAAGAGCATCGTCAGGCATTTCTCCTACGAAATTTTGAGCTAATTCTAAATCATTCCGTACTCGTTTAGCTATTTGTGAATAATTTGAAATAAAGTGTTCGTAATGATGATCATTATGAGCTACATGATGTAACCAAGCGACATCAAATGCATTATCGTTCTTTTGATTGACGCCTTTCTTTCCACAAAAATGTTCCGCATAGGGCCAAAATTCGGCTGGTCCTAATTTGGATAAATCATGAAGAAGAAGTCGTTTGTACGAGACTTGATATGACGTTGAACGAAGCAAACGATTTATTCGAATACCGGCCACAATGATAAAATATTTATGTTTCAATACTTCCCACAAGTATTGAAAAAAAATAACAACAGCTGCCATGAAATAATAAGAAAAAATGTATGTGTACTATTCCTAAGTAAAAATCAATGTTTTCTCTTAACCAAAATAGAAAATAACACGTTCTGATGTAACAGTACACTTGAATTGTGTAATTTATGAAGTAAAGAAAACATATTGCACACATCACACGTATTTTTTACTGTATCGCCCGATTTACTATTTACTTTGCTCTTTCCTTTCACTTCATTCCATCGTCCATGAGTTGGATGACAATGAATAGTTACTCATTACTTTTTTCGTTCTTGCGTTTAAATTGTTTTTCGATTGACTATGGACGACTATGTCATTAAAAAAAAGCTTTTAGATAGTATTTCATCATCGTTGCACAATGAGTGTTTCATTCTGCCTCAAAAGCATAATCGAATTGAATATATTTCCACTCTCTACTATCAAAATTGCCTGCAAGACTAGTTATCCAACGACCTTACTTACAAAATATTTAGTTATTCCTCAGCTCATAAAATTCTTCTAATTGTTTCAAACATTATAAACTATATAGATACTAAACTACTCAACTATGTTTGCCGCAGAATCAATATCAACTCGACGTATCGAAATCATTTCGAACTTTGATGTCAACTCTCAGGTTATTCTATGATGACAATATATTTGATCCAATGGATCGACCTCTTCTAATCTTATTTTTCAATCTAACAGTTCATTTAGGGTTAGTGGCATCTATTAATCGATCTGAGGACTTATTGAGGAAACCTGATTTCATTGAGTCTGACTTATCTGAAGAAGTTATGCTCGATATCATATGTTGCTCCGTTTAAAACACATACGTAAGTTTTCGATTTTATTCATTAATGATCTTTTTCCATTTAATGTTCTATATAAAATCAATTTTCCGAGTTTTTCTTTTATCCATTGAACTAACTGCGAGGTGTTCGAGACGTTTATTTGAAATCAGCTGCACTTTCTCATCTTTGCCAATTATTATTAACAGATGTTTGTTGATACATAGAAATATCTTTTAAATGCTATATCAAAATGTAAATCACTCGACATATGTCAAATTTCTTTCTTCATTTAGTCAATTTCATTGATTGGCGTCCTATATGTCAAAAGTAAATGTCTCATTGCCCATGCTGTATACTTCAACAGTTCTGAACAATACAGCATATATCAAAAGTCTCTACCTTAATGGAACTTCCACATAACTTTCTATATAAAAAATATTTCATTCAATACTGTTGCAAATGGCAACACGATCTGTCCAAAATCAAGTAGTTTAAAAAACTTCAAACGTTTCTTGCCAAAACATAATAATAGAGTTTAAGTTTCCTTCAATAGGTGTATTACAACTAGATCGTTATATAAAAAGCCATATATAATCTAAAAAAGGAAAGCTTCATGCTTGATTCTATGATATAAATTTGGCTTCGATATTTTGTCGAAAGATTGAATATTTTAAAAGGAAGGTCGCTTAAGTAGACACCACTATTTGATTGGCTCTGAGAATATAGCGAGTTGTTTAGTGCACGAAAAATATTTTTAATAATGATTGGATAAGTGCCCAATATATCTCTTATTTTGTGAAAGCCAGAAAAACAATATATATGTTAAACATACGTTTAATTTATTTGATACGCTTTGTCTGTGGTTTAATTATAGTCCTCTCAACAGCATCTACTATATATAACTTTACAAATTTTGAGCAGAAAACAAACGGGTGATTCCATGGGAATCCTACCATCGTTACAGTGAACATCTTCAAATCACGTCAAATTTATAGGGTTTATAGAACTTTTTGTGCTGATCATTTTGGTTATAAAAAAGTTAATACTTGCACTTAAAATGGCTGAGAAAACTTTAAAATACTGTATAAGGGATTTCATCGAAAAACCCATATTTTTAGATTATAACAATGAATAACTTGATCATTTCTCGGTCTTAATCCATTTGTATTGGAATTTCACTCGTAAAATATTGTAGCCCGTGTGAAAATGCATCAGACTATGTATAATTGAAAAGTTTTTTCGTGACAAAATATGTGACCCCATAGCTCACTGAAGCGATGGCTAGCAGTGAACATTATTGGCATAAAACATATACACTTTTGGAATTTTACAAATTGGCGACATATAGGGTTTGATAGAGCGAAGTTTGCTCTATCGATCGCTATATTTGGTTTTCTACGGGAGTGAGATTTGGGTATGAAAAGGGATCAGAAAAGAAAGTGTACGCTTTTCTGGATGGATATTTGCATGGGATCTCAACTACAATGTACAATAAATGACCTTCGATTTTGATGAAATTTTCAGCATTTGTAGAGCTTTTAATTCTAAGCATTTTGCTAAAAAAAACTTTTCGAAACGCTTTTGTTTTGACAGAGATACATGCAAAATACTGTAAGCAGTGAAAAATCAAAAAACCGGATAAAACTTTTCTATGGGACATTTTTGACAAAGGATTTTTTTATAGTTTTTCCCACCAAAATAAGGTCAAAAATCAAATCCAAGACCATATTCGGATTTCTTGTGAGACGGCGCATCAGACCATACTAAACACGACTTCAGTTTTAACAAAAAATGGTTCTAATATGCGTTCTGAGTCCTCATTGACAACTCAGCACAGTGCTACTTTTTACCGATGATCATCCTAAACTGAAACAATTTCTCGTCAAAGTTGATGTCGAGTAGTATAGTCTGATGCGCCGTCTCACAAGAAATCCGAATATGGTCTTGGATTTGATTTTTGACCTTATTTTGGTGGGAAAAACTATAAAAAAATCCTTTGTCAAAAATGTCCCATAGAAAAGTTTTATCCGGTTTTTTGATTTTTCACTGCTTACAGTATTTTGCATGTATCTCTGTCAAAACAAAAGCGTTTCGAAAAGTTTTTTTTAGCAAAATGCTTAGAATTAAAAGCTCTACAAATGCTGAAAATTTCATCAAAATCGAAGGTCATTTATTGTACATTGTAGTTGAGATCCCATGCAAATATCCATCCAGAAAAGCGTACACTTTCTTTTCTGATCCCTTTTCATACCCAAATCTCACTCCCGTAGAAAACCAAATATAGCGATCGATAGAGCAAACTTCGCTCTATCAAACCCTATATGTCGCCAATTTGTAAAATTCCAAAAGTGTATATGTTTTATGCCAATAATGTTCACTGCTAGCCATCGCTTCAGTGAGCTATGGGGTCACATATTTTGTCACGAAAAAACTTTTCAATTATACATAGTCTGATGCATTTTCACACGGGCTACAATATTTTACGAGTGAAATTCCAATACAAATGGATTAAGACCGAGAAATGATCAAGTTATTCATTGTTATAATCTAAAAATATGGGTTTTTCGATGAAATCCCTTATACAGTATTTTAAAGTTTTCTCAGCCATTTTAAGTGCAAGTATTAACTTTTTTATAACTAAAATGATCAGCACAAAAAGTTCTATAAACCCTATAAATTTGACGCGATTTAAAGATACTTTTGTAAATCGTGGTAGGATTCCCATGGAATTACCCAAACACTTCCGACGTATACAAAAATTTAAAAACTTCCAGGGCGTTCAAACATTTTTCAGAATGAAAAGCAGAGGGTTCAATTCGTCTGTAGCGCCGCCATTAGAATTCCAATATCGTTGTGGATGTACACATAATCAATTGAAAGAAAGAAAGATGATCATAAATAAATTACCAGTTTCTCAATGATTCGTTTAGTATAGCTTCCAATCAAAGCAAAGAGAAAAAATAGTTGTATTATGGTAAAGTGAGGAATTCAACCTTATGAGTTCTTGATTCAATTTTGTAAAGATAAGATGATTTACTGGTTTAAAACTATTGAAATGAACAAATATAGCTGAAAATTTAATCAATTGGAACAAAAAGAACATTTTGAAATTTGATATCTCTTTTTAGATAATTTAGTTATTGCTAAACTGGACGATGATTAACAGAAACACGATGATTACTCGATCTATTCGTTATGCTTCTTCAACAATAAAAACTCCTCCAAAACCAGTCGATGATTATACTTATTGTATAAATAGTGTACGAAAAGTTGATTATGAAAATTTTATATGTACAGGTTTATTAAGACCATCATTACTTCAACGTCCAGCAATGGCTATACGAGCATTAAATGTTGAACTTGCTTCAATACGTGATCATGTATCAAATACTCAAATAGGACAAATGAGACTTCAATTTTGGCGTGAAACTATTGATACAATTTATTCAACAACAAATACAAATATGATGAAAAAAATTAATCATCCAGTTGCACGTGAAATTAATTTAGTTATAAAACATAATCAATTATCAAAATTATGGTTTCATCGATTAATTAAAAGTCGAGAAATAACATTAAATGATATGCCATTTCAAGATATTGAACAATTAGAAAATTATGTTGAACAATCAATTACACCTACTTATTATCTTTTACTTGAATTAGCAAAACAAAGATCATTAAATGCTGATCATATCGCTTCACATCTAGGTATGAATTCAGAACAAATAAAGATTATTTTCATGCTCTAGTTTTCTAAGAACTTTATTATTACAATATATAAGAAATTATAATAGAAACGTTGCCAACTCTAACAGATAATCTCAAAATTATAAGTGTAGAATCCATAAAAATTAGAAATAACAACTTTATTATAGGTTATAGTTATTTTAATCGTACAAAGATTTCACTAACAACTTTCTTTTTTCATTGAATGATGTAATTTTTGTTTTCTTTCAGGTCGTTCTCAAGGTCTAATCAACATAGTTCGTGGTATTCCCTATAATGCTCATAAACGTCGATGTTTTATTCCTCTTTCCTATCTTATTGAACATAATGTCTCTCAACAAGATCTATTGAATGGTCAATTTGCTAATGAACAATGTCGTCATGTAATATATCAATTATGTAATCGATCATGGTTTCATTTACAAAAAACAATTGAATTATTTGAACAAGATAAAAATTTTCAAAAGCAAAATATTTCTTCTTCATTAAAAAGTCATAATCGTAGTATATTTTTACCAATTATTGTTATTTATGATTATTTAAAACGTATAAAACATATTGATTTTGATTTAACAAATAAAAATATTAATCAAAGAAATCCTTGGCTTGTTTGGAATTTATGGCGACATAAATTTCCATCTTCAAAAGATCTTTCATTGTTTTAGATTTAGAATAATGTTTGGTCTTTCATCAACAACAACTCAAAAAGATGTTGAAGTTGTTCAACCACCTGATGATGCTATATCGTGTATGAAATTTTCTCCAGCAACAGTTCCACAAACATATTTAATAGCAAGTTCATGGGCAAATGATATTCGCTGTTGGGAAATTCAATCCAATGGACAATCTATTGCTAAAGCAATCCAAAAACATGACGCACCAATATTAAGTTGTTGTTGGTCAGACGATGGTACTAAAGTATTTACAGCTAGTTGTGATAAAACTGCCAAAATGTGGGATTTACAATCCAATACATTTGTTCAAATAGCAGCACATGATCAACCAATACGAACTATAAATTATATTCAAAGACCATCTTATTCATGTGTTATGACTGGAAGTTGGGATCGAACTGGTAAGAAAAATTATTTTTGTTTATATTTAAAACAGGATACTTGCGTGTCTGTATGATACAGATGTCGAGACTAGATCGAACGTGCTTTGATTCTCAAAATAAAATTTTCTAATCGAAATGGAATAATGATCTCGAAGATATGAGATATTTTTTCCCGATTTTTTTTATATTTGATGATTAGTGCATCGAACAGTTTTCTTAGATGACTAGAGTCCGCTGAGTCCAACATTGTTGGACTCAAACCCAACCGAATTGTGAATCAATCCGATAGGCACTATTCGTGGGTGTCTGCAATTTTTGCAGATACCCATTATAACAAAATAAAGAATTCATGCTTTTTAATTCTGTCTAGTTAAATTTTGGGATACACGTCAAGCAACACCATTAAAACAATTAACACTTACTGAACGTATATATGCAGCCGATGTCTTTGGTCCGATGGCTGTTATAACCACAGCTGATCGTGGTATACAAATTTATTCACTTGATCAAGGACCAACTGAATATAAAAAAATGGAATCCCTACTTAAATATCAACATCGTTGTGTATCAATATTTACAGATAAATCACGAAATCCAAATGGATTTGCTATTGGTTCAATTGAAGGTCGTGTTGCAATAATGTATGTTAATGCACCAAATCCAAGTGCTGATAATTTTACATTTAAATGTCATCGTTCAACTCCAACAGCTACTGCTACTACTCAAGAAATATTTTCTGTTAATGATATTGCTATTCATCCTATACATGGTACATTAGCTACAGTTGGTAGTGATGGTCGATATAGTTTTTGGGATAAAGATGAACGAACAAAATTAAAAACAAGTGATGTTATTAATGATCAATCAATAACATGTTGTGCGTTTGATAGTCGTGGACAATTATTTGGTTATGCAAGTTCCTATGATTGGCATAAAGGACATGAAGGAAATATTCAATCAAAAAAGAATGTAATATTTTTAAGACAATGCTTCGAAGAAATGAAACCAAAACAAAAGAAATAAAACGAAAAAAAATTCTTGTTTTTTTTTTTAATATTTTTGTTTGTATATATACAAGAATGTAAGAAATAAAAAGAATCTAATTTTATTAATTAAGATACAATAATTATTTACATAAAAATGATAATGATTGTAATAAATTATATATTATTGAAATAGCCCAATTTTATATGTTTATTTTCAATGGTATTTAAAATATTTAAACAAACATTCAATTTATAAAATTTCTAACTGAATTTTTTTGATGATATGCTATAAACTTCAACAATTATTTAGAATAGCGATACGAGAGCTTACATGAGAAAATAATCGTGAATTGCAATAGTTTTTCTATAAGAAAAATCTTTGATGTTAGATCATAAATTCTATTTACTGAAATGTTTCAAATAATGAAACTATAGTAAAATATTTATCGTGATAGTAATTATATGACTACAGAGAAGTTTCTATATGTATTAGTCAATTTCGAATCAACAGATAACTTTCCAAAAGATTTTGTATTAAGAATGAAATTTAATTCGTATAATTAAATACGATGAATATGAATACTAATTTGAAAGCCTTGGTTTCAATCTATTGATCATATCATTGATGTTCAAAATAGTGTCCTGCAACCCGGCAACTAATAAGATCTCGATGTTTGAAAATAATTTTACTTTTTCAAAAGTTGCCTTTTTATATAAAAGTACACAAGTGAAAAGCGATATTGTTTTACTCAAAGAATTCGCTTTTAATGAATATTCATCTACAGATAATGATGATGAACTATATGGCGAAGTAACTAAATGCATAGAAAGAAAAATCAGTTATCAATAAGTTGAACATATACGAATGGACTGAAAAAGTGGTCGCTTTTTGTATTTTATTTTTTCATCATTTAAAACTTTTTGTGAGAAATAAAATATATGACAAAATGAAGGAACATACAATTTAGTTCTACGAAACTTGGTTATACGAGTGATTAACGATGACATGATATCGATTCAAATCGATAAACAATTACGAAATATGATCGATATAATAAAGTTAAAAACTATGATTCACTAATAGATGAAATTAGAAAAGAAATTCTTCGAATAACAAGAAAAAAATAACTTTTTCGCACTATTGAAATTTGGTCACGTAGAATTTTAGTCAATTATAGGTTGGTTTTTAATAAAACGTATTAGATGATGAAAAAATAAAATACAAAACACAATCATTTATTCTAATCCATCCTTTATTATCATGACATAAAAAGCATTCATGTATGCATCCACAATTATAATGTTTGGCGTCAACACTGTGTTCGATTCTAGCATCATCAGCAACAAGCAAACATATACTTAGTGAAATTGATCAGTTGTTAGAACCAGAAAGACACCAAGTGAATCCTTAATCACTTGATTTATTTGTTTTTCTTTAATGGTATTTGAAACAATCTTTTTTTTTCTTGTTGGTCACACAAGAAATAACTCCGTTTCAGATTCGGGGCATAAAAAAAAATGTGTTCGATTAACATTCTTTAAACAAAAAAGGCGACTGAAATAGTTTAAATAGTATTTTGTAACATTTGTTTCCTGATAGATTTATCCAATATTGTATAAACTTGTTTGATATCTTATAAAGCAGAATATTAATTATCAATGATTTCTTGAATAGTTGAGACAACATCATCTTAGCTTTTTCTATATAATAACTTGAATATTGTTGAGCTTGTGTCATTTTACCAGTGATGAAGTTATTCGATTTTTCGGTTCAATGGTTTCGATAATATTGGAACTTTTGTATTGATTCAATGATCTGAATGCAAATATCAAAATGTCATCCACTTTCATAATAATGATAAATAGAAAACATCAATGTTTGAAGTGAATAATTCTAAATATGATTCGATCCAAATTATTTTTGTTGTTTTATAGATTTGTTCTTCAAAAATTGATTACATTGTTGAATTATTAGGTTTCTACTTTTTTAAATGAATGGGTTAATTCAATTGAAATAATCTTACTAATCAATCAAGATGATTACTAACCACTTCGTTTTCTTTTTTTATCGACGAACTCTTTTGAAAACAATTAAATAGTCAACCTAGGTAGATGTTTAAATTTGTACAAACGAGTGTCTTATATGCATACAACTTTCTGGCACCGATTAATTGTACTTGATATTCAACAAATCTTGTCAATCCTAAATATTTTCAAAACTTTTATATCATATTCAAAAATATTTCATATAGTTATATAAATATACAAAAATACCAACACAAAGATTAGCTGAGATTACATAAGAAATCAAGTGAATTAAGTGATTTATTCAATAGTTTTTGTCTTATTGCTTGTAAAAAAATCTGTCGAGATTTACTGAAAATACTTCTACTTTTTGTTAGTAACATTTAAATTGGAAGTAATATTAAGACTAAATAATGATACGAATACATATACATCATTAATTTTTGTTTTTCATCGTGAAAAAATATTTTCACTCTTTAAAGAATTAAATTGATTTCCCAGGTGCTAGATCACTTAAGTTATGAAATTCATTATCATGACTATAAAAAGTAATTTGTACTTCTAATTATGTTAGTTAGTCTGTGGTATATCAATTTATGAAAATATGATCAAACTATTCTTTTACATCTACGTCTATAAATTAATAATAGCTTGGAACAGTTGAAACTATTAATAATTGATGAGATGTACAACAATGGATACACCATCATAACCACATCCATGCCTATAATTCTTTTTCATATACATGTGTTCGGAACTAATGAGATATTTTATAGTTGAAGTTAAACACTAGCTAGTCAATCTCATTGTAGAACCCTGATTTAAAATCAACTTGATCCAAATGAATAGATAACTTTCTATATGTGCTAAAGGTTCTATATGTACAACTAATTATTTTCTAAAAGCAAGAATCATGTTTAATCATTTTTTGCATTGTTTAAATATGAGAAAAAAATGTCCTATTATATAATTGACAAAAATATCAATTCTTTTATAATAACATATGATAATTGTTATGCTTATTCTTTTTCATAGAAATAGATTTTTCTTTATTAGAAAAATATTTATTTAAAAATCTTTAATGATTCACTACTATGTTTTATCTATTTTTTGCATGTTATAATGAAAACTACGAGAAAAACAGATCGATTTGTTAAATCAAACAAATGACGTAATAAAAATAGATAAAATTTTTCTTTTCTTTAATTTCTAGATGATTCTGTTTAACCTCATGATAGAACAAGTCTATTTTTACAACTAATCCCTTGATATATTGTACAGTATGTTATGATTGTTTTTGGAATGCACATGTAGAAATTCGTCTAAATAAGCATACAATCGAATGTTTAAATGTATGCATGTATATATAGACATGCCACATAAAAGAAGAAATCATTCTTTGATTGTCCGTATACGTACACATTAACTATGAATAAGTAAGGACAAAAAAAAAACGAATTATTTTATATATGTTATCATGTAATTTTAGTCTTGATGTTCTTGCTGAATTAGCATCAAATCAAAAACCTATTAAACAAGAAACAGATTTATCAAATGCTTCTTTCATTCTTAAAACAACACAAAAAGGTAAACCATGTATTATACTTGATGGTCATCGTTATAAACATCGACGTGATAATCTCGATGGTTCAATGTCTTGGACATGTACACAGTATGTTTAAAATTCAATAAATTTCTTTTCTCATTTCATGATTTCTTTTTTCTCTTACGTTAGTGAATTATGTAGTGCTAGTGTACGAACATATGGTGATCGTGTTGTACGTCGTAATGATGGTCATTTACATGCTCGAACATTACTTGTTGATCCTCAACAAGAATTTTTATCACGTTTAAAAAAGCGTGCTGCTGAAGATACAATTACAATACCGAGAATCTATGATGAAGAATTAATGAAATCAATAAATGAACATTCAATAGAAATACGTGAACATTTACCAACATTTTCATCAGTTAAATCAACATTATATCGTCATCGACAACGTAGTCAAAAATTAAAATCAATTAATACAGATTGTAAATCATCTGAATGGAATATATTACCACTGAAAAAACGTCCATTAACAGTTGACATAGATAATAATGATGAAAAACGGCGGAAATATTCTTCATTAACATATCCATATAATTTTTTCTTAGCACAAAACTATATGTTTATGTATGCTTATGCATCAATATTATCTAGTCTTCAACAACAAATGTGATACTTTTGTTTTTGTTTACTTTTTATTTATTTTTGTTGACAATAAGCAGTACTACTATTTTTTGTGCGTTGAATTTTTAACCACGCACACGGTTTTTTTTTTCTTGCCTAATTTATTTTCTATGATTGACATCATCCTTTTGTGTATGGTTTTTTTTTTGTTCTCTCTTGATTAAAAGAATTTCTTGTGCTATTGTCAGATATATTTATAAATATAGAATAAACATACTACAAGAAAACTAATAGTTATATTTTTGTTGAAAATGATTCGATCTGACTAGATTTTTATTGCTGTTTCTTTCTATGACTATGACAAGCAATGATAGACATTTTCTTAAAAACAGTAACGACAAAAAAAAAAAAAAAAGAAGAAGAAAACTCGGAAAAGTTTGAGAAAGAATATGAAGACTCATGTTCTCGGACGGAAATATAAATGACATCGATCCGTTCTAAATATAAAGAGAAACAGAATAATAATAATAATAATAATAATAAACGACGAACAATAAGCTTTTTTCTTAAAACATGTAAGAAATACAGATTGTCGTTTATTTGATGTTTATTATTAGAAAATGAATACATGTTTATTTTATAATAAAATATATAGACATTATAAGAAGAAATAATTCATTTAGAAATTGACAATAAATATAATTTTTCTTTTTTACCCCGAAGGATAAATAGTTTTCATTACATAATCTTTAAGTATTAGATTTTCTACAAGGTAATTGATTTTTGTATCATATTTCTTTATGTTATTCAACATATTTCGACATTTTATTCAATGATTTATATATATATATATATTTGCATTGATCCTTAATATACACATCATTCTCATTTATTTATCAAGTGCATTTATTATGTATGTTTTCCGGCCTAGTATAATGATGTCTTCCTTTTTTTCTATGTATACATATATGTACATGTTTATGAGTACGTATATCAAGAATTACGTCAATGAACCCTTGCTTAGTTCCGATTTAATCAGATATTGATGAGTTAGTTGGTAATGTGCATAAGAGTGAGCTAGTAAAATTAGTCGTACATTTGACATAACGAGCAGCGGGATATAATCATAGTTTGAGACGTTGTTGCAAAATGAATAGATAGGAAGAAATGAAGAGAAAAGAGACATGTATGCATTCAACAGTAAAGATGAGGAGAGATGGGACCAATTACGAATGAAGACAACATAGAGAAAAAAAAACGATAGAAAGAAACACACACAGAAGAGTTGGTGTGACAAACATAGAAGAGATATTTTGGTTTAGAATACTAGTAGAATAAAAAAAAAATTGAACGGATGCACGCACACGCATACTCGAAATGCGAATGAACGAAAGAAAACGCGCATGGTTCGGAACAACGATGAAGCAATATATTATGAATATTTGTTATTGCCATTATACAAGAATAGAAATGAGAATAAAGACAACATCCTTGTTTCTCTCTTTTGACAATATAACTAATTATAGTAAGAATTAGTCTGAAGTAAATACTTGTCATTTATATGTTTAATAATACTATAACGAAAGAAAATAACTTATAGTAATGTTACTGTCTCTTCTCTTATGTTTGTTTTTACTCGTTACACATCTATGTTATGGTCATTAGATGAAAGAACAGAAACGAGAAGAAAGAATCTGAAGTTGGGCTTATTGATTATTTATTCATGAGAACAAGTTCAAATAGAGACAAATAGCAGAAAAAAAAAACTGAGAGAAAAGAAAGATAGGCAGAACATCAAGTCGATCTAATAAAGCTGAAAGAAAGACAAAGTCGACTGATGTGTGCGTATCTATAGATAATAACATTCATCATGCACATGCGTGTGTGTGCTTATTTCTTATATATTAATTAACAATATGATTTGAAAGTCATGTCTAATGGTATGTTACACTTATTTGACTAAGTAAAATTATCATCATTAATAATGATATACACACGATGTAGGTAATAAGCTTTTATTATTCATAGGAAAAAAAAAAACGATGTAACTCTCAAAGGATTATTTCATTCATAATAGATCATTTTTCTCCTCATTGACATACATCTAAAGATTTACAAAATTGAAAGAAGCTTTTTTTTTTTTTTTGTTTTTTTTTTGGTAATAAAATATCTATCATAACTAATGTAAGCATTATATAAGAGACAAAGAACAAGAAAGATTCTATGAACATCTATTAATGTGTAGTTTTTTTTTCCATAATGGACTTCTTCCGGTTTTCTTTTTTTTTTCAGTAATATAGAAAGATATTCTATTTCTATTCAATTCAAAGTAAAACAAGTTAATAGTTCTGTTAATATTGTTCTTAAAGATTAATTATTTCAGACAAAAAATAAAGACACAAGTTTTTACTCTGATCTCTCAAGGAGATCATTCAGAGATTGTTTAAAGCGTTATAGACGAAAAAGATTAGTGATAGTACTTTCAATAATGTAATATTGCTAATAAGAGCACGCACATCGCACTTGCCCTTCGCTCCGGAAATGAAAAACTTTTCTTGAGAAGTGGTAATGGTGCGTGCTAGATCTTGCTGTGCCCATTTTCTTCATCAACATCTTTCGCTCTCTCTCTCTCTCTGTCTCTGTCTGTCTCTCCTTTTTTTTTCTTCATATTTCTCGTTCATCATCAAGCAAAGTTTTTTTTTTGCCTCTTGACAAACGATTGCAATAGTTGAATGCAAATGTGATACTCGGGTGTCGGTTTAAATGATTTGTGTTCTCTTCAAACGTCATCAAGTTTGCACCGCATCGTAATCCTTCAATTTGCGTCGTCTCGTGTGTGTTAATTTAATTTTATCCGTTAGAAATCTACATTTGTCAATAATAAAAAAACACTTGCAAATATATTCTAAAAAGACAAAAATTCGACATGCTACTTAAACTAATCGTTTTTTCTTTTTCTTTCTTGACACATTTTTCCAATGTCACTATGTACATTTCTATTTTATTATAGATATATCTCTATATATATATATTAAACGAAACTATTGTTATTTTACATTTACATGTTAATCACAATTAACTATGATCAACAAAATACTTGCAATCAAAGACAAATAATAAGTAAATAAATATTTACATTTTTTTTTTTATAAACGTAATTGTCTAATGTTGTTTTCTAATGTTTCTATTGACAAATAATCGTAAGAGTTACAACGATTATTTCCTAATTCATATTTGTCTTCTTTTATGTGTAAAAATAGAAATATGGACAGCTGTCAAACACATAGTGACATTTACTAAATGATAATATCATATAGCCTCTAAATCCTTAGAACTAAAACAGTACCAAAGAAATTATTATTATATTATATATATATATATTCATCGAGATATTCATTTAGACTTTATTATTTATCTTCTTGTTTTTTGTGGAGATTGATTTTCAATTGCGTACAATTTTATTGTACTGTTCTGGTCATTTTGTTACTTTGATGACACTGTTAATAAACTGTAGAGCTTATCGATATCAACTGTACATATGAAGAGAAACAATAAGAAAAGAAAAGAATTTCTTTGTTTCTATCTATTAGATATTATTAAATTTCAATTGCCCTTCAATTGGGTATTACATTCGTGATGGCATGGCTCAAGCATCATCGTTCAAACCGTCTATACACTATCAAGTGTGTAATTCAAAAGTTGACAATGACATTTCACGTCTTTCGTCAATAAAACCATCTCAACAAGATTTTTCATCAATTGTTGATGATGATTTATGTGAAATTACAATTTCACCATCAACAAATAAAAAATCATCATCACCATTATCTTCACCTAATCATCATACATCATTATTAAAAAATCGTATTCCTATATCATCATCTATTGAATCAACTACACGTTTTAAACCAATAAAATCTTCTTCAACTTCATTTTCTCCTTTGACAAAAAATCCACGTAGTAGTTCTGCATCAATTCATTCTCTTTCAAAACGAACAAATATACAACAATGTTCATCAACAAATTTTTCAAATCCATCAAATAATCGTCAATCATCATCAAGACAATCAATATTTGATACACTTGCAACAACATTAACAGCTGTACGAAAAAGTTCAACAACAGCATTAGCTTTAGCACAACAACGATTATCAACTGATAATGGAAATCTATTTTCTGCTTATCAAGGTAAAATTTAAAAAAAAAAGATAGTAACTAATTATCTATTAATATAACAAAATTTGATTGATTTAATCTATAGGGATTAAAGTTGATGAATAAAGAAAATAGTCAAATACATCATAAAATAATAATAAGAAATAATAAAATTTGACTAATAGAATTGAGACAGGAAATTTCTAATTTGCTATTTTCACTTTTCTTTAACAATAGACTAACAAAATCATGATTCCTAACGCTTTGATAATATAATAACATTTTTCGATTTTCTTAAATACAAAAAAAAAAAAAAGAAAGAACATTTCTTAATCATACGAGTTTCTTATTCAAATAAAAACTTACATAAAATGATTATAGGTGATTTTATTCGTCAATCTCGTCAATTACGTAAAGCTCGTAAACAAGATATAAAAGCTCGTTTTGAAAAATTTGATTTAAATCCTTCAACAACACATCGTTCACATTTTACATTTATATTTGATCCAAGTGGTCGTTTATCATATTATTGGACATCAATTATAAGTCTTGCATTTCTTTATAATTTTTGGATAATTATATTTCGTTTTTCATTTTATGAATTAACATCAGAAAATTTTATATTATGGTTTATATTTGATTATTCATGTGATTTTATTTATTTAATGGATATTGTATTTAATTTTCGTACAGCTTATTTAGAAGAAGGTGTTTTACAAACAGATCCAATTAAATTACGTCATTATTATATGAATACAACAAGATTTTATATTGATTGTCTTTGTTTAATGCCATTAGATTTTCTTTATTTATCAATTGGTTTTAAATCAATTGTTCGACTTTTTCGTTTAGTTAAAATTTATCGATTTTGGACATTTTTGGATCGAACTGAACGACATACAAATTATCCAAATTTATTTCGTACACTTGTTATGATACATTATTTATTAGCTATATTTCATTGGAATGCATGTTTAATATATATATTACAAACACGATCAAAATTAGGTGCAACAAAACGTTTTTCATTTACAATTAATGATAGTGGTTTAGATTATTTTAAAGCTTTGTAAGTTAATTAGAATTTAAAGACAAAAAAAAAAAAAAATGAAAATTTTATTTCTAAGATATTGGTCAATAACAACATTAACTTTAACACAAAATCAAGAAACTAAACCAACATCAAAAGAAGAATATATTTTTTTAAGTATTCAAATAATTTTTGCTTTATTATTATTTGCAACAATTATGGGACATGTTGCATCTATTGTATCTAATTTAAGTAATGCAAGAAAAGATTTTCAAGGTAAAAAACAGAATTCAATTGATACAGTGTACTATTCTCTTTTTTCCTATTTAGCTAAATTAGATGCTGTTAAAACATATATGTCATTAAGACGTGTACCAAATAATCTTGAAGATCGTGTTATTCGATGGTTAGTCTATTTAACTTTATTTTTTAGAAAAAAAAAAAGGATACTAAGATGATACTTTATCTAATTGAGATAATGGATGATACATTATTATAGAAAGTAGTAGACAAATAAAATAAAATATTTGTTATATTTAATGACTTCCACTTATCACTAAAGAGATATGTATGGCATTCAATGCTTTATAATAAATGTTTATATGGATGTAGGATTTTAGTTATAATAAAAATGTTTGATGAAATAAGAATGCTGATTTTTTTCTCATAATACTGTTTCAATAATTTATTATGTGATAATTCGAAATGTTCCACTAGAAAGAAAAATTCTTCGAAGACAACCAACGATCAAAACTACATGCAAAACAAAACGAGGAAAATTTTTGAGCGAACACTTGATTTCATCAATAGTCCCAAGATATATTCAAACTAATCTTATTTAATGAATAAAATGTATTACTTCGTAGAATATTGAGTAATTTTTCTAAGTACTCTTTACTCAAGTATTTACGCATTCAAGATAATATATTCGAATTAGAGTTTTGATTGTCAGTTAATCATGAAAAACTATAACCAACAAAAACAAACAAACACATTTCTTTCTTTTTCAGGTTTGATTATTTATGGATGAGTCATAAATCTGTTGATGATAATCATGTTCTATCATTATTACCCTATAAACTTCGTGCTGAAATAGCTATTCATGTTCATTTAGATACTTTAAAACGAGTGAGTTGTTAGAAAAATTGTTATTATAAACAAAAGAAAAGTTTTTATTTTTTTTTTTTGATAGGTTGAAATATTTCAAAATACAGAAGCTGGTTTTTTAAATGAATTAGTTTTACGTCTTAAACCGGTTCTGTTTTCTCCAGGTGATTTTATTTGTCGTAAAGGTGAAGTTGGAAAAGAAATGTATATTGTTAATCGAGGAAAATTACATGTTATGGCTGACAATAATAAAACTGTTTTAGCAACATTAAAAGCTGGTATAATTAAATTATGAAAATAAAATCAATATAAATAAGTATTTATTTTTAAGGTTCATATTTTGGTGAAATCAGTATTTTAAATATGGGTAGTGGAAATCGTCGAACAGCATCAGTACGATCAGTTGGATATTCAGATTTATTTTGTCTTTCGAAAGAAGATCTATGGGAAGTATTAAAAGAATATCCAGCTGTACGTGTTAAACTTGAATCAATAGCTGTTAAACGTCTTGAAAAACATAAAAAACCATTAATACAACAAAGTAAAAAAGAAAAGAAAAAAAAAAAGTAAATATATTTTATTTTTATATTAATCTTTTAGTTAATCTTAAACGAAGTAAAAGTACACCGGGTTTAATTGAAGCAAGTTGTCGTCTTCCATTTCATGTTCCTCTACGTCGAACAGGTAGTGGTATACAACGTCGTTCATCAATTAAAGAATCTGATATAAAAACAATTATATCATTGAATCCACCATCTGATCCTCAACAACAATTAAATTCTTCAAATTCTTTATTAACTGTTGCACCACTTGCTTCATCAATAAGTGTAACATCATCAGACATTGAACATTTAAAAAAAACACACTGAAAAATAACATTATCTGATAATCATTTCGTCTCTTTATGTATATAATTTCTTTCTTTCTTTTTTTTTGAGGATTGTCAGATTATCTAGAAGTTTATTTGAAAAAAAAACACAAATGACTTGTACAAGTAACAAAGTCAAAACAATATATATATATATGTATATTTATATAGATGAGTTAGTAATTGAATTAAATGTTTTTTGTTATATAAAATTTTTACAACAACAACAATGATGAGAATTTATTCGAGATGATGAACGTGATGATGCTAAAGCAACCTAAAAAATGAAATAAATATTTATAAAGAAATATGAAACATTTTATATATACGGTTATTTTTCGACCATCAGCTATGGAACCATTTTTAACACGAATTGCATTCATACCATCACCTATCATAATAATAATATAAATAGACATACAAAATGAACAAAAAAAAAACAAACTTCCTTTATCGGAAGGAAAAACTTGAGTGAATGAATTAATTTTTATTTTCAATCGTAATAAACGAGTACTCATTTTCATAAGAAAAACAATGAAAATAATAATGTATTGAAGTAGAACGGAAATACTGAAGTTTTTTCTTTCCGGAAAATCAACATTTTGGTTATTTTTATATATCGACCTGGATTTGATGTTGACTTCTCAATTAATTCTTATGAAACAAAAAGTCTTTCAACTAAGCTAATCGAATTACTGCGTTTTAATAATATTTTTCAAGTCGATACAATATTCCTACTTCGAAATACTAAGAAAATTCATATTCAAATATTTGAGTTCAAAACTTTCAATAGAGACAAATTTCAAGAAAAATAGTTCATTATCAAAGTTGCAGAATTTTTCGTTGTTTTTTTCAAATATCCTGAAATAAGAATATTGAATTTACTGGTGTATATAAGTGATGTAAAACAAAATCTTTTTTTTTCATAACTGTATTATAAGATCGGAATAACGAATGAATTTGAAATTTTCATCCTAAACTATTCTTTTTCAAAGTATGTTTCTCTGACAAGTTTCAAGTCAAAATTCGAAAATACACTAACAGTTTATATTGTCAAAAAAAAACAGTATTCATTTGATATATGTGTAAAAACTAATAGTTTATCTTACATACTTTGAGATTTAATCATTCATTATTTTTTTTTTTTGGACGGAAGTGAACAATTCTTCTTATTAACTAAATGTTAGCAAGAGAATTCCATTTTAGAGAACTATAAAATTATCTTCAATAAGTTCGAGCTCATAGCAAGATAAATATTTTTCTAAATCTGATCGATTTATTTTTATGTTGAAATTATTGAATTCGAACGATTGAGTGTTCTATGTCAAATAGATTAGTATGTCTTAAACTATTTTTTTACTTACTATGACGAAGAAATGTAATAAATCCAAATCCCTTGAAAAATATTAAAAAAAAATGATTTTATATTATTAATAAATAAAAGTTACTTTTGAACCACGTTCATTCGATACTATTTCAGGATCTTTAACTGGTCCAAATACCTTAAACGAATACAAAAAAAAAATAGTGTTATTAATTTTTACATTACGAAACTTACTAAAAATTGTTTACGTAAATCATCAATAGTCCATAAAAATGGAATATTACCAACATGAATACGTAATGGTTGTTCGTCTTCATTAAACTACAAAAAAAAATATTTAATTTAAAAAATAAAAAAATTATCAAATATTATATATTAACTTGATCATAAGATGACATAGATAAATGTCGATTTATTGTTGATAATGATGGATGAAATATTTGATTTTTATCAATCTAACAAATAAATAAATAAAAATATTTCAAAAATAAAATCAACTTACTGAATTATAAGATGTCATTGATAAATGTCGATTTAAATTTCCATTTGAGGATGATATTTCCGTGCGCATAATTTGCTCATCGAGTTGATGAGGATAAAGATGCATAGCAACAAACTATATTCAAACAATAAAAAACAAAAAGAATGAAACTTTCATTTGTTTTTAAAGCCAAAAAAAAAATAAAAATACAACAAACTTTTTCACAAGTTGGTATTGTTATATGTCGATTCATTATTGATCTTACTCTTGTCTTTTCGAACGAATAAATATTATCGATATCTATATGCTCAGATGATCAACTTTTGTTTTACAATCATATAAAGAAATTCAAATACGAAAAAAGAAAACACGTGCTTCTACATATATATCTATGACGTCCATCAATAATCATATGATAGATAGGAATTCAAAATCATGAATCATTTGTTTAAATTATGAAACATCATTTTATCATTTAATCCAATAGGACAAATCATATAATTATGAAATATAAACAATTGATTTTAAAATTTTGTAAGCATTTTTATTTATCTATTTAATAATATGAAATAGCTGTCAAAATCTTATCAAATAAATTCTGATCATTTTTATATCTATTTTAGTTATGCATTAATAATTATTATTGATTTTAAGATAATAAATGATTGAAAAGTAATTAGACAAAATATTCATTCATTTTTCAGCTTTTTAAAAACGTTTGTAGATATTGAATCAGAATTTTGTATTGTTTTCAAATAGGATTGTAAGTTTTTTGTAAGAACTCTGATTTTGAATTTATAAATGAATCTTTTCGAGATGTGAAAATATAAGTTTGAACGAAGAACATAAACTTTTTTTTGGCATAGACCGAAGCCTTCGAACACTAATACTCAAAATTTGATCTTTAATCGGGTATATTCAAATCACATGAAATTTTCTGAGTGCTTCATTGGATCGAACGTGGTTCATTTAGCAAGCCAAAATTCTCTGTAGGCCATCATTCTATATATTTGAGATAATAAGTTTAATGTCTAGAAAAACTCTTAAAAAAAGTACCACTCTAATTATAAAGATACTCTTATATGTATAATAGCAACAAAGTTTAATTTAAAAAAAAAAAAGGAGAGACTGTAATGTTCTGCATCTTGACATAATTTTTCAAACAAAAAAGAAAATCTATTGATTAAAATGAAACTCTATCAAGGATTTCTAGATGCATGATTACAAAAAAAACATATTTTTCAAGCAGAAAATGACGGAAATTTTTAGTAAAAACAAGATTCTAAATATAAAACCATGTCATTTATGAAGCATCAGACCTCGAATTCTCTTCCTATACATTTATCTCAATTTTCATATTTTTTACGGAAATTAATTTCTTTTAGGGGATCTTAAAAGGCAAAATTTTTCTTTACAAAATTATATAAGAAACAAGAATCTTAAAACAATTAATCAGAAATGAACGAACTCACTTTGCAAATTTTTTTTTTCTATGAAAGTCAAAAAAAATGTGTGAATTCATACAGAATTCTTTGTTAAAAACAGTTGTTATTAACAAATTACTTAGAGATACCGAATTATTAATAAACTACTGTATGGAGAAATATTTGCTCATTCCATTTATTGTATTTAAAAAAATTTCTATTTCCTAAACCTGAAATTTTTTAAGAAATTCTTGAATCCACATTTGGAACAAACACAATATTTTGATTCTATAAGTTAATATTTTCTAATTTTTATAGATTCCTTAAACAGCCTAAACATTTTATCTTATAATTACTTTTCGATCAACCCGATAGAATTAATTGATTCAGCCATCTCTAGTTATCTAACATCAGAATTTCAAGGTTATAGAAGTTATTTTTTTAAACAATTTTTACACAAAATTCTATTTATGAATGTCGAAATAAATTAATCAAATGTTATTATATTAAATTTACATATAATTATGTATCAATTCAGGTAAAAACATTGGAAATTTATGAAACCTGAACGTAGTATTCCACACTGGAAAGTTTTCAGGTTGTTCTGGTATTTTGCGACTGTTTCTCGCCATAACAACAACAAGAACTTCGCTAAAAATCATCAAAATATTCTTGAAACTTTCCAATTCAGAATGCTAACAGCAAAATTCCATTTTATTTTCGAAATTTTTCTGAATGATTTGATGATTTATTCTTGTGTTGTCGAAGTTCAAAATTCTGTTTGTTCTTTTTAATTAAACTTTCGAATAGTAGTAAATCTCATTTCTGCATTTCAGAACATATGATATAACTGATCAAGAAACACAAAAATCCAACGATTTGTTTAATCTTTGTATTCTATATTAGATTTTATCTTCAATAGACATTATAGAATCCATCTAAAGAAGAATATATATTCATAAAATTCAAAAACTTTATCAATATATGAATTTTCAGAAAAATATTGTATATAAATTTTTAAATTTCTTATATCTAAAAATTAGATTCTAGTGATGATCTTTTAATTTTATTTGTTATTGAGAATATTACTAATATTGTTTTCTATTCTGACATATTCAAGGCACTTCATATATCATAATCAAGGGTAACCAGAATGTTAAGCACAATGAAACTTCAACACGAGCATTTTCAGTACTGAAATATTAAGCACGCAAACAAAGATGAAGGCAAATAAGACATTCATTGACAGATCAATTCGTGTATATGAGGATTGATGTTAGTTTTCTATTCATTTCTATACAAACACAAGCTCTTTGCTTTTATGTTTTTTTCGCGTGTTCATCGTTCCATGTATATCGGTTACATGCTTAAATATCCGTGAGTAAGTTTTTGTGTTGATTGTTCAGCAATCCACTTCAAGGTTTCTTTATTAATTCTATTTCTAGTCGAGACTCTATTCAGATTACATTAAAAGCATTTTTCACCTGATATTGAATCATTCTACTCTATTTTATTAATATCTATAATAGATTCGGATCGTCGGAAACTCTGTTGTTGTTTTTTTCTTTGCTACTAGAATTCTCAGAGACATTCTTTTCTTGATTTGATGTTTTTTTTGCTGTCCTATTATCTCTGCATCGTGACATAAATCTTTCTATAGAACTTTAATCTTCTCCTGTTTACAAAGTACTTGTCTTCCTTTCATGCGAAAATAGATTTATTAGTGTGTTAAGGCGACATATAATTATCATGGCATACCTTGTTTCAACATTTAGTATTATTGCAGAAGAAAAAATAGATTCATAGTTTATTGTGAGAGTAAATAGAGCTATTCCCAACACTATTTTACAATATGGCAAACATTGAAAATCATTTGAATAATTTTCGTCAATGGGTTCATGAACAACAACCAACACTTAATTCACTTGATACTGATGAATTTTTATTACGTTTTTTACATGTTACAAATTATCAATTGGATGATGCTAAAGAATGGTTAATACGTTTTTGGAAATATCGTACAGAAAATCCACAATGGTTTGTTTATGAATAGAAATTTTAGAAAAAAAAAATTTATTTTCATATTTTGTTTAGGTTTACAGATCGTGATCTTTTAAAAAATCCTTTAATGCAGGAAATAGCTGAAATTGCTTATTATTTTCAATTACCAAAAGAGACTAAAGATAAACAACTTATTGCTGTTATGCGTATGGGACATTATAATACAACTAAATATTCATTAGATGATGTAACTAAATATGCTTTTGCTGTTACAGATATTCTTAATACTCAAGAAGCAGGTCGAACACATGGTTATATTATATTATTAGATTTATCCGAGATTAAATTACAACATATTAGTCCATTTACACCGGATCGTGCTCATCGTTATGTGGATTGTTGGGAAAAAGTTTATCCAGTAAATTTGGTTCAAATACATTTTTATAATTATCCTCGTATATTCGATCCAATTTTACATTTATTTCGAATGTTTCTTTCTCGAAAATTAAGTGATAAACTTTTTCTTCATTCAAAATCATCTGATGAATCAACAAATAAATCATTACATCAACATATTGATCCATCAGTATTACCAAATGAATATGGTGGTCAATTAGGTTCAATTAATGATATTAATAAAACATTTATTCAAAAGATTCGAGAACAAAATGATTATATGATGCAATTTGATAAATATGGTATTGATTTAAAACAAGCATCAAAATTATTAAAAATAATTCAAAAAGAACGTGATTAATGACAATTTTTATTTTTGTTGTCAGGCTTAATATATATTCAATGTTGCATTGAGTCGTACTATATATACATTTTATCCAAGTATTTGTATGGTATTTTTTGTTGTTCGTAGCTAAATAAATGATTTAGTTTGCATCAAATTCTAATAAACGAAATAAAATCAACGTCATAAACAGTAGATTTCTAATGTGAGTTCGAAAATAAATGAAAAATTTTGAATGTACAGATACAGATAAAAGCAAAAAAAAATTCATATAAATTATATATATCTATAAATTGAATAGCACAGCTTTATTTGAAACAACAGAAAAAGTTAATATAAATTATGAATTTATAAAATGAATAGAACATTCTTGTTGAAGAAGCAAAAAAAAATAAAAGATAATATTTTTCACTGAATTATAATTATAATTTAAATTGAAACTATTTTCATCACTGTATACACAGAGAAGAGCATGGTAATGTTTTGAAGAGTTGAATATTTCAATTCAAAATATATATATATATTAGGTTACAGAAGTTTATACATGCAATACTCGAAGAGTCATTACTAGTTTTTAACTGTTTCCTCAAATTAAAAAAAATATTCAAATTTTGTAATATTCTTATTCGAATTAGTGGTATCGCACTAGTATTATTGCCTCGAGAGTTAATTAATACCAAGATGTTAGCTTTATTTTCATATGCACTCAATATAAGTGTTGAAAGCTTATACAAACATGCTTTCCTTTAACTTTTCAGAGACTACTTCGATATGCTACATGTCGTATATCTCAATAGTTATTGTAACATCTCAGTTGACGATAGTTTCAATACGAATTATAATTATAATTTAGATAAAAACTTTATCTTTTGCTTTGTCAATAGGAAACGCTTTTTTTAAAAATTTGTCAGTTATTATCGAAGTGCTAATAGATATTCAACTGTTCATTTATCTTCGAACTCGAATTAGCCAAGTCATAATCATGAGTGTGCTGAACTTGAAAATACAATGAGCTAATAAATATAAACTATAACGTATATATAACAATGAGAGTTGCGTCAATAATTATAATAATTCTTCTATGATGCGCAAACATTATTCTCTTCCTTTCTTTCTATTGTCGGTTACATTCTAACTGCGCATACTACTTTTTTATTCCATCAAGAAAAAATGTCCGTAAAGTAGAAACAGAAAAAAAGAGACAAAAATAGTTTGAATTGTAAAATCAAGGCTAGATTTATCATGTGAAAGAAAAAGGATTAATGAAACATAATTCAAATATCTAATTTGGCTTATATTCATCATCAAGATCATCCTTTGTTAGTTGTGTTGAATATCTCGATTATATTGATAACTACGAAGATTCATAAGACTATTAAAATATTCTTGCCTTGTTTAAATCAAAATGTTTTCATTTTGCGATTGATATAGTTCTGCTTGAATGTTTCGAATGTTGTTGAGATTGTTCTTGTTCAACTTGAACTATTTTTAATTCGATGATTCATAGATATATCTTATCTAGACCGTAAGATTTCGATATGTTTGACCATGAAAATTTAATTGATCATGGTATTCTTCTGTGTCAATCATTAGTTTTTTGTCAAATTGCAATCAGATCAAATAAATTATTAAATGAGGAATGAAATAAAGCATCTTCAGTATATATGTCCGAAGAATTTGATCTATTTATTGAAGAAAAATTAAAGATTACATTACTAATACCGTCAGTAATATTATAAAATACTAGATTTAATCGAGTTATTAACACTGATCATCCTGCAATATCTATTTTTCTCTCATCAAGAGAAAATTTCCACAATCACGAAGGAACAATATGATATACGTTGCTCTCTCTCTCGCTCTGTTCTATTTGAAATAGATAAACTGGATCGATGTAATGTCGACTCCAAAACAAACGAGAAATGACGATACAATGAATCTTTTGAGAATGGTAATAGCTAATCATCTGAACTTTTCAATTGTTATAATCTTCTCAACAATCGATCTTGGACCAAATACATTTAAATTGCATGAAATTTTTACAAAATGTTGGAGCTGAAGCAGAGAAGCTATGCTAAATTTTTAATTCTATATTATGAAGTTTTCGGGTCACATTTAACAAATAAAGGTTCATTTTTATTTCAAAAAATTTTGTAGAACGCAGTGCTTGACAGAATCCGCGTTGTTAGAATTTTACTTTTTATATGAAGAAAAAACATAACAAGTTCAATACTTCAAGAGACTTACAAAGAATGGTCGTCTATTTATAGGAGTACTTTTTTTTCGATAATAAATAAAAAAAACTTAATTCAAAAAAGAAAATTGCAGCTTCAAATGCTCTATCAAACAAACAAAAGAAGTAATTACCAAAAATGAAGCTTCTTCAAGAGTTCTACAATGCGTGATTAGAAAAACATTAACAGAGAAAAAGCAGAAAAAAACAATTACCGCTTTTTCTGAAACAAATATGTTTTTCACGCAGAAGATGATGGAAAACATCAAAAGATTTGGCAAAAAACGAGATGTCAAAAAAAGATCAGATTTTGAATTATCTTATTTCCAATTTTTCTGAATGAAAATTGATTTATTTTGAAATGGACTCTCGAAAAAAAAGAGATCCGGACGACGTATTGTCCGACAATCTATAAGCTAAAACCATTTCAAATCAAAGTTTTTTTGTAAAATTTTATGAAAATGATCTACAATAAAAGTTTGATTTTAATATTTTTCTTAGATACAGAGATTTCAGTTCTATAATCCAAGATACAATACGAAAGATAATTTTCACACATTTGAACAAATGAAATCCTGTATCAGTTCATTTGAATTATATGAACTAATGTTGATTTTGTACATTTCTTTAGAATGTTCTGCAAAAATAATTTTTTTTTTAAATGGTTTCATCGTACACGTTATCTGAGTGAAAGATATCTGGATGTCTGCTCTCACGACTGATAGAAAAAAGCAAATCTCTAATTATGATCATTCTTGAAGTGTTCATTTTACTATCATCATCTCGCTTCTTCTTATACCAGTACTATTTTACATTAATACTGAGAGAAGCAATGATGCTTCTTCTCCAATTCATCATCATCTTATTAAAGTAAAGCAGATACAACACTAGTGACGAAGATATACATTTGAAATTCGTTACTAGAGATACAAAAGAAGATCTCATCTTAAAATGATGTTGCTCTCATATTAGATCTTCCAAAAAAAGAATGGAAGATATAAGAGATGTATCTTAATACAAATCATTAATTGTCGTTTAAGAAATAAAATCGAACTATTTATCATTATTACGTTTAAGAAAATATTCAATCTAGCTCAAGATCTAAACAGTTGAATATGAAAATTCATTTTTGTTCTTTTCTTAAATTACGATATATTAAAGCATACGAAAAATATACATACAAATACTATTGCTTGAATAATTATGTTGGCAAGTTGCACTCGTTGAATAGAGTATTTTTTTACTAAGTATAACATCATCAATATTTTTTTAGTATTTTTAGAATCATTATAAATTATTGATTATGTATTAACATATTTATAATGATTTAAAAACTATTATTACTTTTTATACTGAAGAAGAAAATATTTAATAAGAACATTTTTGCATTAAAATTTTATATAATAAATGTGTACATTATCCGAAAGATATGAAACCTAACTCTTTACCTATAGGATACATAGTGGTAGTTGACATCATTCATTAAGTTGTTTATAAAAAGCTTACTTGAATATGTTATATAAATATGTCATTGTGATATGTTTTGTTTTTGTGCACTTAAATGAATAAAATCGATGTCTAAACTTATTTATTGTTTTTTCAGAGCATAGTTTTCTATTAGAAATATTCAAACTTCACTCATCTAATAATTCAAGATATAACTGTAGTACTTTGGCGTGAAATTCAGGGTGCGAGTGTGTTTACTCAAACACTTCATCTGTCATGATTCTTTATTATTTTGTGACCATACTCGGATGTTTACTATAGGAGAGTATGGACTATCTAATTGACATAATAATATGCACTAATTATCCAATTTGGCTTTATAAGGAAAGTAAATAAAAGTATATATGCAAAATAAAAAAGTGCGATATAAATTTTATTAAATTTTTAAATTTATTTATTTGACATAAATTATAGTTGGTTTATATGAAAACTAACACGTCTAATGACTTTTTTTTACTACTTGAATCACTAAATTCATATATGTTGTTTGAAAGGTTTCTATTTAATAAAATTTTAATTAGTTTTATCTTGTGCATCTATATGTATGTCATCATCTACATTTCTCATATTTATCCGCATTCTTTATATTAGTTATAGATTCTTCTAATCAAAGATCATTATGAAGATATGTCACTTGCTACCAGTGCAGCTGGTCGACAACCACTATGACCACGATTATTAACACTCTTACCAGAATCAACATCCTTTTCTTTTGTAATTAAGTCAATTAGAATGATGAGATAAAAAACGCTATTAGTGAATAATAGTTGCTCTATGTGAGTGTATATCAGATCTGTAAAATTGTGATAAGCAAAGGAACTTTTGGAAATGGGGTTAATTGTAGCTAGTTCTCGCCTCTATGTGACCATAGGTACATTATGTAATAAATATCTTTTATTTCCAACAAAAATTTGCGAAAGAACAAAAGAAGATCAAAATTAAAAAAAATATGAAGTTTTCTTCCTGAATTCTTTTTTTTTATGTTAAAGTTCTAAATGAGGATAAATTTTTGTCTGATCAGATTTTTTTGTATTTAAAATGTGTGTTGAGAAAAACGAGGTTTTCGTTTCGTGATGTCACATTTTCTTTCTTATTTGAATACTTATTGTATACTATAGTAAACCTAGACAATATTCTGAAACAAATGTCAAAATTTTGTTCGGATCAAAACTGCACATGTAGACGGTGTTAAAATGAAATCATGCTGAGCTCTGTATCTCTTTCAGTGATGAAACTATAGGGATGCTTCTAACACTCATAAATGAAACATGTATAAGCTGGAAATACGATCTAGTTTTTGATTTATTGTGCTGAAGATTTTTACCAAAAGCATTGCTCACTAGGACCACTCATTCCTAAGTTTCAGACTAAATAGCCTATTCTGAATCGTAAATCTATTATATATAGAGAGAAAAGGGTAGAAACTTGAGTAACAATAACATGAAAGATTCATGTATTTTTTTTTATTTTCAAAATCACTAGAAAAATAATAGAAAAATATGAAAACTGAAGTTCAGAACTTATCTTATAAATAAATGGATATTTAGTGAACTTGGTTCAAAAAAAACATAATTAGTATCAAACACATAACATATATTTCAATATATGATCGAAAAGTATTGCGAACACTTTTATTTGTTGTTGTTATAGTTGTGGTTGTAACTGCCGTAGTTGTTGTTGCACTAGTCATAGTTATCTGTGTTACAGTAGTGACCGTTGTTGTTGTTGCTGTAGAAGTTGTTGTGCTTGTATTTGTATTAGTTGGCATTGGAACACAACCATAATAACGTTGAATTTCAAGAATATCAATTGGACTTAATTGAACTCGTTGTCCAATAAATGCACTAGCATTTTTTGTTGGTATAATTGTTGCTACACTACTATTAATAGCAAATGCATTACGTTCATAATGCATGACGGATCCATAATCATATGATGTCATTAGAGTATCAACATCTGAATCATTGTACATATCAAAATTAAATGCATTAGCTATGATTGAAAGAAGAAAAAACAAGTTTTTATTTTTTATTTTTTATTTTTTTGAGAAATTACAATAAAAACTTACCAGGAAGAATATTATTCCATTGAATAGACACATACGAATCTCGATCAGGTCGTGATTGTTCATGATAAAAGCCTTTTCCGAAACATAAAAACTAATATTTTGTTATTTCATGTATATCATACCTAAGACATGTGTTAATTCATGTTGAATAATTCCTGAAACCATACAAGTAGCATATGTTCCATGCATGAATGAAACAGGACGATTACCGATATAATTACGCCAAGAACCAACCTAATCAAACAAATAGTAAATTTTGATAATATATATATGTATATATATTTACTTACTGGAGCATAACAACCAGATCCATTAAAAATTGTAATATAATATAAATCAGATGTATTTCTTGGACGAAATGATATACACTGGGTATTATTGACTTTTGTAAGATTTTCCATTGCTCTCATCATATTAACAATGAAAATTGAGTTATTGGCACCTAGAAACTATCAATCTTTATTTATGTAAAACAAAAAAAGTATACAAACTGATGTTTGAAGCGATTTCATACGGTACAACACCACCTGTCCATCGATCATATGCTGATCTTATTGCTACTCCGCGCTAAAATTTTGCAAATATCAATATTCACTTCTTTTTAGTTTCTAAAAAAAAAACAAAACTTACTCCCGTAGGAGACGTAACAAATGGCGGATGCACCATATCACCTCCGTCTAGTCCGTCTAAAAATTAAAAATAACATATAATTGAGATAGATCGAGTTATGGTGTATCTACGAACCATTTCGTTCAGGATTATATGCAGATCCACTTTGTATACTATCAAAAGACTAAATTTATGAGATCTAGAATTCGAGAATATATAATATATGCATTTACTTACTGATGAGACAGGTGCACAGTGAAGATTTAAAGCACAATGAAGAAGGATTAAGGTCAAATACGTGAGTAGTTCCATTGAAATCGTCTATGACTATCGAATTGTTGTAGTGAAAGCTTCTTTAAACAAAAATAATAATAGAATTTTCATGCCTCATTTCTTTTAATCTATCATCAGAATTTTGTTGGATTTGAAGTCAAACTTATACATTTTTTTTTATTATTCTTTCAATTCATTTGTGCAGCTTCATGAAAGAAATAATGGTTTTCGTACTGAAATTCTCTTTATTCAAAAACACCATCGGTTTCTTTTTTATTAATCAGATAAAAAGTATGACTATTTTTTTGACGAATATTTCTATTCGTATAAAAAAAAAAGTTCTATTTGTTAGATGTGTTTAATTGGCTTTCTAAACGACTAATTGGACTATTAATCACTTAATCATAATAACGAAAAGTTTTCAAAAAAAAAACAAAATCATCTAAATGGTTAAGAATATGCATAGTTATCAATAATCAGTCACTCTTTGTAAAAGTAAACGTTTTATCATTTCTAGAAAACTATTTTATTTAAGACCACTCCCCCCCCCCCCTCAAAAAATGTCAATTTTCGTCAAAAATTTCGATATTGAGATAAATGCATAGGAAGATAGCCCGTGATCTGATCTTTCATAAATGACAAAAATTTTTTATCGACGCCTCGTTTTTTCCAAAAATTTTTGAAGATTTCCATCATCCCCTATTCGAAAAATAAGCCCATTTTTGGAAAAAACCGAAAATCTTTTTCGTTTTTTCTCAATTTATGATTTTTTGATTTTGCTTCCAAGATTTTTCGGTCCAGTGCCTTTGAATATATATAAATTTTTTTTTAATTGAAAGAGCACATCAAGATGCAGGGCATCACAGAGTTCTTTTTTTAAATTAAGCTTTGTTTTTTATTATATATACAGACATTTATGTAACTAGGCACCCATTTTTGGCACATTTTTTGAATCATTGAACTTGCGATTCCCTTTCTCCGCTAAAAAAGTAAGAATTTAAAAAAAAGGACCCTGTGGTGCCCCGCATCCTGACATGCTCTTTCTAACCAAAAAAAAATAAACATATTGCATGAGCCTGGACCGAGAAATCTTGGAAGCAAAATGAGCTATTTTTGACCCTTGTTTGGTTCATATCTCTGTCAAACGTCAGGATATCGAGCTGAAAATTTTACCACAGCCTCCTTACTTCAGTCCCAACATATGCTCCAAATTTCAACCCATTTGAATATACCTGAGCTGAGATCGATTTTTGAGAGGGGGAGGGGCCTTAACAAAAGTTCTTGGATGTTTTTATTTATTCAAAATATCTGTTTATATTTTTCAAAGCAAATTGTATAACCAGCATTATTTTCGTAACCGAAATCTAATGCTGATAGTCATACTTGATACAAAAATGCTTCACCTAATTGAAAAAATACATTTAGAAAAACGAAATTGAGACTTCTATGCCTTTCAAAAAGTCAACTGTCTATACAAAAAAAACAGAAGAATACAAGTACATAACATAGTTGAAAGAAGAAAAAATATTTGCTTAGATGAATTGATTACGTTTTTTTTAATGTACCTATTGTGCAAATGTACACCCGTAAATATTTTGAAGGTACTCAAAAGAAATTTGTTTACTTAGAATTCATTAAAAGCAAGATGCCTCAATGATTTTTTTTTAAACTTCAACTACAAACTTTGATTTATTTGTGTTGCACTTTAAATCATTATTTCTATAACGTCCATAGATTATCTTCTGAAATTAAATGAACTAATATTCGTTCTCTTTCATACGTTAAATGTATTACTCATTTAATTGTTTTATTTAATAATAAACATTTTTATTTATATCATATTTCTAATAAATTTGAATTAATAGAACATATGTATTCTATTGAGGTAATCTAACAAATTGATCTATTGATTAATTATTCAACAAAGAAACTAAATATAATAATAAAAAACGAAGAAAGTTTATATTTTAAAGTTTATTTAAAACTATGTATAAACTATAGTAATGAGAAATTCTAAAGTTCACCTGTTTTTTTTTCTTTCTTGAAACAATTACGTCGTTACTTAAATTATTAGTGAAGTAGATTAATTTTTATTTTCTTTGCAAAAATAAACAAATTTAATCGCCTAAATGCAATGATATACATAAGTTTTTTTTTTCGTTTTTACTTACTGTATATTCAAGAGACTTATCTTGAATAGGTTACTTAATTAGTTACTTATGCATGTATTTCTTTTTTTTCAGATTATTCAGTTATTGACATGATTTTTTTTTTGACATGTCAAGTAAAAAAGAAACAAGCGAGCGGTAATCTAATGTTGATTATTTAAAAGCCTATTTTCATCTAATAAATGTAAGAAAACAAAAAATATAAAGAATCTTACAAAAAAGACAGACAATGAATGAGAATATAATAAATAAGAATAAAAAGTGCTTAATTATTAGGTGATATTCAATAATTGTTAATAATATGCTGAATAATACTTCTTGAAAGCATACGAAACTAGTTATTCATTTTAATCAATGAACGTGTGAAATAGTCGAGCTATTCTGTTATGTCTCAACTGAGTCAAAGTCATATATGTAATGAAAAACTTCACGAGAAAAAAACTTCAAAGAAAATATAATATCTTTTACACAAACCTAAAAAAGTGCAATAAAACAAAGTTTTAAGATGAGGAAAAAAGAAAAATTAATATTTGTTGATGACGACAGACTTACAGGTAAAAGAAGAGAGAAACACTAACATTTTATTTGAAACCAATAATATTCCCTTTAAGCATTTTTCACATGAATAACACCCTTTTATTTCTTCTACTTTCTTATTAGTTTTCTGTTTTGGTTATTTTGTATTTTTAAGAAATATGATTTAATAATGAAGAAAAAATATATTTCTCAAAAACAACAAAACTCAATCGTATTAAATGTTTTGTATTACAACAAAACAAACCAGACAAAAACATTTGTAAAAATTCCATATTTATATAGAAAACTATAAAATATTCAGTATTTATATGTGAATCACAATGATGATGATTATCATCTGGAATAATTTATTTCAACAATAGCAACAACTTCTCTATTTTCATTTGACGAAAGTCTATTACACAAAAAGATATCAAGCTCAATCTGTCTAACTCATACTTAGAATATTCAGAAGGGAAGTTTTCAACTTGTAGCAGATTTAAGTTTACACTGTTCGACACCGAAATATCTAATGTACAGAGATATGCAATCCAATCCATCTAAAACAGACACGACTGAGAAATCACACATATAGCAAGAGTAATATACTGTGTTTTACAAGTGATAACTATATGAGACAATGAAATACAATATCGTTTGTTACTATCTACTGTTGTTTACGAAAGCTATTACTATCATCTGAGAAAAATTCAAATATATGCATTCTATACGAACCTTTTTTTTTACAAAGAAATTACAAATGAAAAGAAAACTTTTATATTTATCTCAATAATTATAACTTTCAAATTGTCAGCATGTCACTCTAATCGATGAAAACGTCATACTTTTCTTTGAAATGTTAACTACACAAAAAAAAAATCTCATTCCCTTTAATGAGACAATTTTTTAGAGTTAAGATAATGTTTTTTTTATAACGATGGTATACTTCATCATGCAACTTATTTATCTTATAAATGTAATAGTTTAAAAGATATATTTTGTGCTATATTTGATGAAATCTGTTGCCAAGTTATGAGAGAACATATATAGAATAACAGATATGTCAGTCTGAATCAAATCTTTATCTATCCTTGTATGTATTCTATGAAAATGAACAATAAATATTGTTTTTAAGTTTAACTGAAATTAACACGACTTGTATCATTAAGAAGTAAAGCAATCTAAGTTACTGATCGCTCAACCTTTTCTTCAATGCTATTAAACGAAATATAGAAACGAGTTATATATATATAGTCAAGAATCACAAGTCACTTATAGACATTCAAATACACAAAAACTCCAAATGTCACTCGAGCAAAATTACATTAGAGAAAGATGACTGGTTGTACGAGTTCTGAATAATGAGTAGCGCATAATACACACGACAAAATGTTTTCGTTTTTATAGAGTGCTTCTCAACACATTAGAGATTTCATTTTAAGCTCATTTGTTGGAGAATTTTCTACTCTAGAAAAAAAAAAATACTATCTTTCTTTTTTTGAATAACTATTTGTTCAATATTTCAAAGATCAACATCTACTCAATCGTCTAACTGCGATAGTCAAAAAGCGAAAACATTTTTATAAATGTATCACTGAAATTGGAATATGCTACGAACTTCTCCACAAAATTTAGTATATCTTAGTATATATTGCAGGGTTTTAGAAGAAATAAATACGAGAAAGAAGAATTCACAAAAATATTTAGGTTATCTCGTTTTGAAAATCTCTTTCAGGTATTATCTATTCAAATCTTGGACATAGTCAAGTTTCTTTTGATCGAACAAGATCGACTGACCTGGTATCGGTTTACCAGTTCTGCTCCAAGTATAAGCTAAAACGCTTTAT